CCTTGAGTCGAAGCCGTCGGGCCCAGTGTCCGGGGGATCTCTTCGAGGATGAAGCCGGCCAGTTCGCGGTTGCCTTCGGCATGTTTTCCACTAATTAATGACTCCCCGCCAAGCAAGAGAATCCTGAGCGACAAATGAAGTGTTGCGACTGAGTTTTTGGATGCGAGGCTTGGACTATCCATCACCTGGACTGTGCTTGGATCATGATGGCTCCTGCGTCATCGTTACGCAGCCATCCGGGTCCAAACGTCCAGAGCATAGCCGCCGAAGCTTTCCAGCCTCTTCTTGGAACAATGGCCGTCGCACGAGGCTGTGAGATGCTCTTGCGAGAGAATCGGAAGTCCCAAAACCGAAGTCTTGCTACGCGTGTTGTGTTCTCAGCTGCGTAAGCTCGTGACCACATTGTGGGGCCCGAGTAGAGGTCGCACTGCCCGCGCTGCCCTGCTGTTGGCCCTGGTCGTCGCACCTTGTCCCCGCTCTATTGCAACACAGAGACACAGTGTCAGATTGCGACTTTAGCAAAGTAAATGCAGACATTGCTCCCTGAAACCCAGGTGCCTGCTTCGCTTTGCTTCACTGGTGGCTTGGCACCTGCCACCCAGAGCCACACGCCCCGTGCTGCTGAGGTGAGGGTGGGGGCGAGAGGGAGGGCCCCAGTTTTTAGCTTTCGGTTTCCCAAAGCCTAGTAGACCTCTCCAGGCGGCAGCCCCCAGTGCCTCCAGCGGCTCGTCCGTGGCCCTGGTCAAGGTGACCAAGGACCCCACGGTCGGCTTGCGCTGCAGCTTGTGTGGATTTTTGTGGGGCGAAAAAAGTGCTCGTTGGACTTGCAGTTGGCAGGAGAACAGCATCGCCACCGCGGGAGTCCTGGGCGGCGTGACTGGCCTCCTCCTTGGCGGATTCTGGCACCTCGGAAGGGGATTTTGGCCCAGGATGCTGAGCAGAGCCGCGCGTATCCGCATTTCACCCCACCCAGTTAGGATTCTCTCCCGCTGTATATATGCAAAGTCGGCTAAGTGCGCCTGTTGTGAGGCTCGGTGCTGCGGGCTTCGTGGCGACCTCCTACTTGGCGAAGAAGGAGACACCGGCGGTTCCGCGGTTCTCTGTGGCACTCCACCGAGCCCACCTTAGCACAAGTTCCATGGACGGACGTTCGACTGCTGACATGAATCTTAGTTACCTTCAAATGCCTCCAAAAGGATCGGATCGGCATGTATAGGCCTAGCAGGCCCTACGCGGAGGTTTTTTCGTCGTTCGGAAGAGGCTGAGAGGATCTGAGAAGTTTTTACGATTTCAATTTCAGATCTCTTCCCTCTGCCAGGAGGACTCCGATGTTGCCTCCGTTACTCGGCGCTTCCATTCATGCGTGCGAGAGTAACCCATGGTAACCCTGGCATGTGGAGGGCAATATGTTGGCCTGAAGCGACGTGTAGCTGCAATCGCACAAGTGACAATGCACGGGACGTATCAGCAGTGTGAGAGCGCGCACCGGAAAAACACGAGTGGCAGACTAAGTGGACAAGAATTGGGAAGAAGCCGAACCACTGTATGCTCTGAGTATCCCTGCATGGCACATGAGGTGCTGAAGGGCGTTTCCAGCGCTTCTCTGGAGGCGATCAACTTCGCGGACTACCTGCGCCTGGGCTTTGTTCAGAAGTTGAAGTAAGGCTTCGAACGGTAGAGCTCGGGCTGTACATTGGCTATAGTGCTAGAGACGGCAAGCCTTGTCACCCGCGTATACTCGCGTGATCTGTAGCCTTGGGCCCAGGAACAGCAAGTACGACGTGACCTCCAAGGTCGGCACCGTTGCTCGGCTTCAACCCGAGGAACCCCGGGTTCGGGTCTTGAGTTTCATCCATTTCTCAATCAGCAGGGCCGGGGGCTTGACAAGACCTTAAACGCTTGTGCCGTGCCACTTGTATTCCGCCTGCATGGCCTATAAGGCCTTTTGTCTTCGCATGCCAGAACTCTCAGCGAATGCCGGGTTGCGGATTCCCTTAGCCCATTACTTGTCATCACTCTACTAGACAAGTCTCTAGGCCTCCAGATGTCTACAGTCCAAAGGCCCTGAACGATGCCTTGGACAAGTCCAACGGCGAGACCTCGTCCACCGTCAAGGCAGCTGTTCTGGATTATGCTCGCCATCCCTGCGCGCGTTTTATTTTAATTTTTTCCTTCTTGGTCTCTCATATAGCTGCTTGAGTATAGCGTCTGTAGCCACTGCCATCACGTCCCCAGTCTTCCCCCCACCCCCCGCAAGGAGTCCCTGGACACCGTCAGCGACGCTATCACCAGCCTCCCGCCTCGATAAATAAGCACAGGGTGCGAAGATGCGAAATTGAAGCACGTTGGGCCAGTGCCAAGGGGTGCTCAGCGTCATGGAGGCTTATAGAATGATCAGCATCATCAGCATCTAGTGCTTCTGGTGGGAGGCTTCACGTACGGGTCGTGGGCTCCCGTGCTGTACTCGTATCCCATCACTTATATACGTCTTACGCCCCTTGTGAAGCCACACGCTGGCAATGCCCGCAGCTGCAGGTTGCAAGGCAAGGAGCGTCCATGCCAGGATCATGCCCCCCCCTGCTCCAAATTCTGGGCTCTGTTTGGGTCTCCGTCACAGTCTTCTTCCGGATTTTTTGGGATGTCTGTAGACATGCGCTCAATGTGTGGCTCAGCCTTCGACATCTAATGTGAGAAGGCAGACGCGAGCTTTGGGTGCCTGATGGTGCCTGAGTCATCTTAGTACTGGTACCTCCCAGGCTTCGACAAGGACGTTGGCATCAAGGACCGTCGGAGAGTGCCTGAAAGCGCGCTTGCACTCGGGCGCGCTGAGACACGGGTCTTGATCCAGCTGCAAGCCGCCTGTGGCTGACTCATCTCTTTCGTGCCGACCTCGTGAGGACACCCTCGGCTCGCTCATCCTTTCTGGCACGGACCTTGCGGAACAGTTCGCAAAGAAGGCCGTGAGGGGGTTTGCCAGGGAGCCGTGAAGCTGTTGCAGGGTGAAGGACATCTTGCACCTGCACGTGCCGAAAGTAGAGCACAATGCTAGCCCACGCTGGTAGACCCTCGCCTGGAGGTTGTGGAGCTGAACGACCAGTACAAGGCCATCCCAGTCGGAAAGCATCCAGCAACAACCAGCTCAAGCCACCCATCCTAGCCAACCATGATGAGTCACCCTACTTGTAGCATCCCTTGCTGCAACCATTGAAACCTGAAGGTCACGGACCAGATCAAGGAAAAGATTGATGAGACCCTTGACAAGTCCAAGAGCAGCTAAGTCCGTGTGATGCACTTTTAACAAGGTGACTGAGCTCTGGGTGCACGGATCATTAGTTCCCAGGTGCTTCGTGATCTTGCCGCACAGACAGAGCTCAGACACTGCGAACACCGATCTGTGGGGAAGCAGAGTCGATTTTCCGAGGGCTACAAGTACCATGGAGACTTCGATACCGGCAAGCCATGGCATGCTATGACGACGCACGCCGCCGGCGCGAACACTCGTCCCTGCATCCCCCGCAGGTCGGCAGTGAGCCTGTGTGTCTGTGAGAGCGAGCCGCAGCATTGAGAAAAAGTCTAGGGTTTGTAGGGAGCATTGAGTCTTGCGTTAAAGATGCTACTTGCGGCGCGAATCCTCGTCCAAGGGGCTCCCCTATAGGTGCACTGGAGATACGACCCTCAAGAAGAAGACGCCACATCATTGAAGAGGAGCTTGTGGAAATGGAATAGATCGAGGGCTCTTTTGCAGACACTAGCTGACGAGTTGATCACGCTTAACGTTGCTCGCTCTCGCAGGCAGGTAGAGCTGAACAGATGGCTTCACATCTTTCCGAGAGTTGCACAGAAACTGTCACGGCGAGACCTAGCCCTGAGCCAGGTTCTCCGGAAACGCCGGATGGGCCGCAGTCAACTCATGTTTCATGGCCATGTCCATGGTCACAAAGTCACTTTAAAGTATGGTCTAGGACTCCACCCAGAGAGGCATACTTGTGCATGGCGTTGTCGGCCGTTTTGAGCTAGGTCCGCCTTCAGGTTTCTCTCTTCGAACTAGTTCGAAGTTTGCCGAAGTTGGCCGAACGGCGCGCACTTTCGGCCCGCTGTCCTTGAGTCGACGCCGTCGGGCCCAGGGTCCGAGATGAGATCTTCGAGGAGCCGGCCCGTTCGCGGCCTTCGGCATGTTTTCCATTAATTGCTCCGCCAGAGCAACACGCGACCAAAAAGGGACGACACCTCTCCTTGCGGCATCTTGCGGTCCTTAAGTGACCAGCTTCCTGTGAACCAGTGAGCCAACCAATCTTCTCAAGCTAAAAGAAGCCAAAGGAATTCTATCATGGCTGTGAGCACCCCCGCGGTCATAGGGGCTATGGGCGAGGTCTGAAACAGGGTAGGAGAGAATCCCAGGCTGAGGCTGTTTTGTCACACCCACACCCGAAATCAAGTCCTCGGAGCATCCTGTGCTCCAAGGGGCTGTACGATATTTGGGGTACCTTCTTGGGGTCCTTAGTCTAAGGGGATGGGATCCCTTGGTGTTTGTAAACCCCCGCAAGGCCTTGGTCATGCGCCAGGGCATCCAGGGCATACTTCTCCCCTGGGCGGGCTGAGAGGCGTAGATCAATTCGAGCACCAAGGCCCCTGCTAAACAGGGCCTCTCTTGCGTGTTGTGTGCATCGCGCAGTGTTCCCATTGCTGCTTCTTTCAGTTGTACAATGTTGTACATATTCGCACTGTGTATATGCTTAGAGAAAAAATCTTGCACTGAGACTTAGAGCAAAAAAGACGCGCCATGGCGTGACCCGATTGGGTCGATGATGCGTAACACCCGCAAACCCTAAATGCCCCTTAAGCCTTAAGCAAAACCCTTCAAAGCCATAGAAGAACCCGAAAATCCCCTTGAAACCCTAAACCCTAAACCCTTAAAACCCTTAAACCCTGAACCCTTAACCCTTAAAACCCCTGAAGACCCCAAGCTCGCAAGCTCGAAGAGCCCTCCGCCACGGCAACAGGCGACCTGGCTGGCGCTCTGCAGGAGGCGGCCGCCAAGGTCTCGGAGATCATCGCAAGGCACCGCCCGCTTAACTTAGTTTTTTTTTGACTGTTATGTTATGATTTTGTTATGATCATTATGTTTCAAATTTTTCTTAGTGCTATTGCTATTGTTATTGTTCTTGTTCTTGTTATTGTTAGTGTTTGTTATTGTTATGACTCGTTAAGTGTGTATTTATGCTTTTGTTGTTTTGCTTCATGGGGTTTGTTGAGGTGTAATAGGGGCTTATCGGGGGCTTATAGGGGCTTACAAGGGGTTTATAGGGGATTTTCAGGGATTTATAGGGGCTTAAAGAGGTTTCAGGGGGTGGCGGCGTTTTAATGGAGGGGTTTCAGGGTTTAGGAGTTCGGAGGTTTAACTTGCCGGTTTAAGTTTAGGGTTTGGGGGTTTAAGGGTTGAGGGGTGACGGCTTCTGTTATAGCTTTCAGGGTGCAGCGTTTCGGGTTCAGGGGGCCAGCATGTGCGGAGCCTTGTGCTGATGGTTCCACACACTGTTACCATGCAACGGTTTGTGGAACTTTGAGAAGCCTGAGGGGCTGTCAGGTCTTAGGCGAGTCTAGGGCTTTTATGACAGAGCTGAACCCTAACTAGAACCCCCTAAAGAGGGGTTTTGGGGTTTAGGGTGTCCCCCTACTGAACTCCTCATGCATGGTACTGGGCAAAAAACCTGAACCCTAAAACGCTAAACACGGATTAAACACCAAACACTCAGCAAACCCGAAGTAAATCCTCCCTAAAACGCTAAACCCCTATATTCAGCCCTAAACCCTAAACCCTAAACCCTAAGAGGAAAAGCCCCTAAAACTTAAAACCTGAAACCCGAACTAAATCCTAATGCCAGGGCCCCGAGTGATGGGGCGGAGTGGCCCTAAACACTAAAACCTAAACCCCAAGCCCCAAGCCCTAAACCCTAAACCCTAAATCCTAAACCCCAAGCCCTAAACCCTAAACCCTAAACCCTAAACCCTAAACCCTAAACCCTAAACCCTAAACCCTAAACCCTAAACCCTAAACCCTAAACCCTAAACCTCAGGGCGGAGTGGCTCTTGGATCCGACGTCCCCGGAGTCCAAGGCCGCAGCCGAGGCCTCCAGCGGGGTTTGGGGTTTAGGGTTTAGGGTTTAGGGTTTGGGGTTTAGGGTTTCGGGTTTAGGGTGTAGAGGTGGGGGGGATTGTCAGTTCGGGGTTCGGGTTTTCGCAAAAGGTTCCTTTCTTAAATCGCGGCATGCGGAGATCAGGTCTCGAATATGTTTGGTTCACCTCGCGTGCCCCTGGCACCCAGGGAGGGAGACCTCTAAGCACCCTTGGCGGTTTTCATACATGTGGGTCTTACGACAATAGGGGGACCCCCAATATAGATCCCCCAACATGTCGGATTCCCTTCGAATAGGGACCCCCCAATAAGGTACTGGGTACCACTAATTTTCGGAAAGCCCCACATCTTACAGCCTCCAAGCTCCTGTTTTTGCCTGCCGTCGAAGCAAATCCCGGTGCTCCGAAATTGGGGCAGGGCGCGCGCTCCTTCGTGAAGCTCTTCTTCGATGAGGGACAGGCCGCTACTGCTTCCAGCTGGTTGAAATGCCTGAGAATGAATAACCCTATAAGATCTCTCAACCACATAATGCCCTAAACCTTAAACCCTAAACCCTAAACCCTAAACCCTAAACCCTAAACCCCCAATCAGCCTTGTGCATCTTTTCCTTTGCTCTGGAAGGTGCGGAGCCCCGAGACTCTCCGCAGCACCGCCAAAGATCTTCCACGGCTGGTGGTGGATGGCGAGATGGGGAGGGAAGAATCATCGGATCATCTGAATCTAGAGTAGATAGCATGCAAGTTATACTATATTTAATATAGATTTCACAGAATATAATATACAGTATGAAATACTACACATATACATATACATATATACACGTTTGTTTATTTATACTATGGTATGGGGAATCTGTCCGTCGTGCTTGGACTGTGGGGTGGTCTCAGTGGAGGCCCTCAGCAGGAAGCAGGGCAGCATCTCCCGAATCTTAAGCAGCCGACTTTACTTTGCACTACCGTGTGCTGCGTACTGTTCCCCCTACTGTACCGGGGGCTGTCGCCATCCCCCGGAAATTTTCGGCATGGCCATCCTGGCCTTCTAAAAGCTGGGAACATCGGAGGTTGATAAGGCAAGCTCGGTCTAAGCTCAGTGGCACCATGCAGTAGCCGGGAGGCTTCGACCGAGAGCAAATCTGGGAAGAGGTGGAGGTGGACTGTGCAATGACGCTCTAGAGCGCTGGTCTGCAACTTATGCCAATCAAGCAAGCGGCGCCTAGGGCCTAGGCTTGTGATACTGGGCTACATGCCTGCTGAGAGCAGCCTTTGTTGTGCTGTTTCGCTAGCATGGGCTGAGAGTCTTCCGCGCGATGCTGTGTGATGGGAGTGATGGGACATGAATGCTAGTTCAACAATCACCCACACTATCCCACGAAAATCCACATATGGTTAGAAGAAACTTCCCCAAGTTCCCATTCTCAGTATGTCATTCAGGCAAAGAAGGCACAGAGGCTATGCTTGGTCTATATTGTGTAGGAATATACATGCGAATACACAACATACGTGTCTGTACACACATATGCATTCAAGTCTTCATGTAAAAAAATCCAGATGTGCAGTGTACATCTGATGCATACGTGCACACGTAGATCGCACGCATCACCAGCTCCGAATGTGGCGCCAGGTGCAAAATGTGCCCCTTCGTCAGCACCTGCGCGATCCTCAGGGTCGGATTGCCTCCGATCACTGCTCGTGCAAGGTCTAGGGTTTGGGGCTTAGGGCTTATAGGGTTTAGGGCTCGGGGCAGGGCCCAGACCCTTATAAACTGTGAAGCATGTAGAGCGGATTTTCGGCATACCCCCTCCCCAGGCCGCTGTAAGCCCTGTGGGTGCCCGGCGGGTTTAGGGTTTAGGGTTTGGGGTTTAGGGTTTAGGGTTTAGGGTTTAGGGTACGTACAGTTTGAGCAAAGATCAGAAAGTCCCGGGAGCCTCTTCGAATTCCCTCTCAGACCCGGCCTAAGGCGGAAGCGAGTCTCGAAACTGGCTGTGGCGCCTAAGGCCGAGCACCTCCCTGATGTTTGCAGTTCATTTCTTGCAGAGTCGGGGGCCCTTTCTTGGTAGGGCTGTGAGTTACGCAGACTTACTTGGAGGTTCAGGGTACTTCTAACCCCTATTATGACTGTACTTATAAGCCCCCTGAGTCCTCTAAGTAGGCTAGAAGTGGACTTATAATCGGGATTATAAGTGCCCATGAACCTCCAAGTACATGGCTGAGCTGCACATCAGGGAGCCATCGACCTTACGCTTGCCACGAGCCAGACGAGCCAGGCCGTCGCAGAGGCCTGGCGAGACAGAAAAAGCCGAAGACACGGGAACACTTTTGGGGTCGTCTGGCGAGCTGGAGTTCAACTAGTTCCCCAAAGAAGATCCTGCATAAATGCACAGAATTAATCTCGAAATGTGCAGCCAAATGCCCATGAGTATCCCCGCAGTGTCGCGAGAAGCTGAGCCACCACACTGGGACTCAAGCCCGTGATGTTCACAGAGAATTCTCTTAGTCTTCATCGAACTTCTCTTCAGTATGATAATGAGATCATATGCATATGGCATGGTATGTTCTACTCTCTCTTCCCTACAATCTATCCTCTGTCCTGTACCTTTACACACCATCTTCTCCTCTACCCACATACAGATGTGTGTACATACACCGAAGGAACGAGTAATCATCCATCTACGAATCATCCATCTACGCCAGTGCGCCCCGAAGAAGGCCCCCTTACCCCTTCGCGGCCCCCTTCCCGTTCAGGAGGGCGAGGATGCAGCCGGAGAGGCCATGGAAGAGCTCCCGGCGGAAACGCCGACGAAGGCCCCGTGTTTTTTGCTCCAGACTGGTGTGGCCTCTGCACAAAGCCAAAGAATGGCAATGAGATCAACCCAGATCCATTAAAGTACTTCTTCTCTTCTGGTTCTTGTTTTTGGCGATGCCAACTCGATGTGGAGGAAGACTTCCCCCCAAAGCTTCGGCTGCATTGTTTGTCTTTCCCGCATGTAAAAGTTTTCAGTCCTAACACACCACTTCGTCGCACAGGTTTTCCAAGTTATGTTGCTTTCTGGGGATGCTGAGAAGGTCCCCAAGAGTCACCGCTTGCAGCCATTGGCGTACACTCTGTGACAGTATGCGTGTCCCTGGGGACTAGTGCGAACAACTCGTCGGAAGCGACTTCGGGCGTGCAAGTCGAGAGCGGCAGCAAGCATATGGTGGCAACATCATAAACGAAACTGCCAAGCTCGGGAATCTGGTCGGGGGGAGAGAATGTGGTTTCTGATTCTTGTTTGTCGGTTGCTTAGCAGAAAGCATGCTTACAGGGGGGTCAAGATCGAGCTGGTACATCAACGCTTTGTTTGGCGCGGGGGAATGTGCGAATCTGTTTGGGAGCACGACTGGCTTGAGAGCCACAATTTGTGAACAAAGATTGGTTTTCTCATTTGAGGTGGGGTTATGCTTCTCTGGATCCTCAACCCAGAGCCCTTTAGCCTTAGGTGCGGGGTGGCTAGTCTACAGGCAGTAGGCGGGTAGCAAGCAAAAGCCTCTCAACAAAGCCTCTAAACTCTAAACCTCCAAAGGGCACTTCTTGCAAGCCCTAAGCCTATGACGCGCTCGGCAGCCCACCACGTGCCCGGCCTGCGGCAACAAGTACTTAGAAGACGCGATCTTCTGCCGGAAGTGCGGCCGCAAGCGTGACGAGGTCGACGAGGTGTGGTTGAGAGTTGAAGCCGGAAAGGCAACCAGGTAACTAGGGCAACTAATGACCCTCCATCTTCGGTAATCCCGTTCTTCCTACTGTACGTCCCCCACCGTACTCATTTTTGTGTATCAAGCAGCATTATATCAATATTTCATTGGGAATGCTTGCTCCTGTCAATTCTCCTTCGGTCCTCCTTTTTCAGCATACTGTGTCTTCATATCGTGAATTCCATTGAGCTGCGTTTGGGTCCAATGCAGAGCCACACCAGGCTGAGTCAAAGGACAGCTCAAAGAAAGGACGGGCTGGGCTGAAGCGCAACATATGGGGGTTCCCGAAATAAGGGGTGCCCTGAAGCAAGACCCTGGCGCAACCTGTTTTCTGGTTTTGGGAGGAGCGCCGAAGGCAGAAGCTGCCGATGAGCAGGAAGAGGCAAGCGTAGCCTTTTTTCAACAACATGTCCTCGAATTCCGAACAACACTTCGTGTGACGCTCGTTCGCATGTTGAGGCCAAGCTCCCGTCAAGCTCCGTTTACGACATTGGCTGTTCAAATGCGCCGAGCATGAGATGTTGTTAGGTCTCGTGTCGAAATGTGTGTTGCCGCTAGCTAGATATTGTTGGTTTCCGGCGCCATGGTGAGGGTGGTGAAGCAATCGTGTTATTGAGAGCTGGGACATGAGGACCCCCTAAAAGAGTGGAGCCGTAGATGTCAGGCACTCCAAAACGGGCGGTTCTGCACCTCTTCGAATTTCACGTGGTTGGGCTCCTCCGGGCGGGTTCTTAGGGTGTATGAGAGAACTGCCTGGGTAGGTTGTGGAGTTCATCGGGTGGGCGGCTCTTGAGGGATAACGGATAGCGCATGAGTTGCCGGTTACCGTTCGGGCTGCTCGGCGTCATGGCCCTCGATTTTGATGATTATCACGCAACTGCTTCACTGGCGGGACATTCTTCCCTAAGCCCTGAAGCCTGAACCCCAGACGCTGCTCCTGTGGACACATTCCCAGTGCGAGGCTCTTGGAGATGTGCCGCAGGACGAGGCAGAGGGGCCAGTGTAGCGAATTGGGAGGGGGGCTTGACCTGCATTGTGGCGGCCCATGAGGCGCCCTGAACCCCAAGCGGAAAACACTGAACTTTATAAGGTATACACCATAGCGGACACCCAACAGCGCAGTCAATGCCGACATCGGAAGGCCGCGCGAGCACGTGAGCCCTGTTGCTATGAATAGGTTTTTGAGCAGGCTTAGGCCACCTAAATCCTATACATCCCTATACATCCCAAAGCCCCAAAATCTTCCACCCCTAAAACTCCCTGGAAACCCAAACCCTAAACCCTAAACCTAAACCCTAAACCCTAATCCCTAAACCCTAAACCCTAAACCCCCCAAAAAACCCAAAACCCCTTCCCGAAGCTCCGTGGCTTCAGGCGGACAAGGCCGGCGTGGGCACGCGGGACCAAGCCGAAGAGGCGCGAAGTCCTTGGGGGCTGGAGGTTGATCTGCGTCTGGTTCTCGGCCCCATATTTAATATGTTGGTCTTCTATATTCTATTTCTTAGTATATATAGAAGTAGGCATGTAGTTCTCAGGGCGCCCCAGAAAACTGAGACCAACGCGTAGAGCCTTGGGCTCGAAGGCGGTGTAAACGCACGAGTCCCTCACCAGACGGGCGCAGAATGCAGGCGATGTTTTTAATGGCGGTTCTCTCTCTCTCTCTCTCTCTCTCTTCGTGGGGGGGGGGGGGTGGGTGGCGGGGGGAGGGGGGGTACCCTGTGTGTGTGAGAGAGAGATAGATGTACATATATATGTATACATATATATATATATATGTATATACATACATATACATATACACATACACATACATATACATATACATCTACATATACATATACATATACATGTACATGTACATGTACATGTACATATATATATACACATATATATATATGTTATATATATATATATATATATATAACATACATACATACATACATACATACATACATACATACATACATACATACATACATATATATGTATATTAAAGGGCCCGCACAGTTAAGGGAGCCTCAGAAGGGACCTGTATGATTCGTGCCACCGTTGGGGCGAAGGCGATATGTTTCTGTTATTCTCGCGTGGAGCGCGCACGGCGTTCTCATCCGCTATACAGCGTACTCTCATGTACTCTCCCACATGAACCGTTGACTCGGATGCACAATGCTTGTAGTGTGACTTGCAATCAGTTCAGCTGTCGCCACTTCCTCGCGGCGCTGCTGTCTTTCAATGGTTTCGGACGAACCCCAACTCTGGCCACGACAGTCATGGGCAAGTTCTCAATAAGCTGGCGTTCAAGCAAGAAATCAAAGGAGCAACGATATCTGAATCACTCTATGAGTTGTCTGCTGAAAGATGCGCAGCCCAGTCAACATGTGGCTCCTTGACTGTCCACCGTCTGCTGTTTGGAGAAACTGGCTCCGGCTCTTTTTTGTTGCTAAAGTTGCTCGTATAGCAGCCTACATCACTTGCAGGGCACAGGGGGCTACAAATTGGAACCCGCATGCTTGAAAGTGAGTAAGGCTGCAGCTCATCAGGTATTGTCGGTATTGTCTTAATGTGGAGCAATTAGCCACAGGACTTCTTCAGCCTCGAAGACATGGAGAAGTTTGCTGACATAGCCGACAAAGGTACCATGAGGCAGGATCGTGTCATGGCTTCACGTTCGGAATCCCAAGGGGGGAGGCGAAGCGTCGGCCAGTGAGGAGTTTCATCTGGCGGTGGCCACGGCATGTCACAGTTGGCTTGAGATCCCACATGTTTAGGGTTTAGGGTTTAGGGTTTAGGGTTTGCTTGAGTTGGAAGCTTGGCCATTTTGAGTTTTCCCATCACCAGGCTTGACGAGGATGCGGAGGAAAGCGATTTCGACCTCCTCGAGGAGACTTGTGGAGGGAGTTTGTGCAGTGGGATCCCTACCTGGGACTCTCTATTTACCTACAGTTTAGGAGTAGCCAGCCTTAATTGGTAGGTCGAATCCATAAAGCCGTCGGTAAAGAGGGTCCCAGGTACCCTCCGGCCCCCGAGGTTGTAGGCTGCTGGAGCCTTTTATATGGTGGCTGCCCGTATGGTGTGGTATTGCCACGGTTTTTTTTGGGGCAACTCTAAGCCACCGCGGTTGTCCCTGTCACCCTGAAACAGCCCAAAAAACAGCCCCAAGTACCTAAAGTACCTAAAGAACCCTACTGGAACCTTAACCCTATTGGAACTTCAGCACAACAACCCCAACACAAAAAACCCGCTCAACTTCGCTGGGGCAGAGCAGTCGCCTGGGCCGACCCACAGGCCGGGGATGCGGACGGCGACGACGAGGTCAGGGCCCTAAAGCTCCTACTATTCCTAGTATTGAGCGCCCTAAAGCTCCTACTATTCCTAGTATTGAGCGGTCTATTCGGGGTCCCCTGTTTTTCGAACTCCCAAACAACACTCCAAAAAGCTTAAATCCCAGACCCTAAACCCTAGACCTTGAACCCTCCCTAAGCTCTAAACCCTAAACACCCTAAACACCCTAACCCCTGAACGCTAAACCTTGAATATAGAAAACTGTCAATGTGGAAATGCTTGCCGATATGCTGCGGTTAGGCTCAGAACTTCCCCACCATAAATCCCTAAGGGTCTAAGTACCCATATACATATATATATATGTGTATACATATACATATATATATATATATACATACACATATATATATATATATGTATAGATATTTTACACAGGATGTTAGGATTTAGGGTTTACTGGGTTTGGGGTTGAGGTTTTTCGGGCTTAGGATTTAGTGTTTAGGATTATCTTTCGAACCAAAGCGCCCCCCCAAAAGCATAAATGGCGACGGTCGAAGCGCAGGGAGGGCCGCAGGAGCCTTTGCTCCCTGCTGAGAGCCCCTCTCGGAGCAGTTCCGGTGATGCCAGCTGCTGGGTCTTCCTGGTGGTGGTTTTGGTACTTGGTGCCGTGGCGAAAAACTCGGAGTCGCAGTGCCGCCCGGAGGAGTTGAGGAGTTTGAGACCTCCTCATAATGGCAACCTGCTGCCTTCTTATTTCGTCCTCTCAGAGCGCTTGAACCTCAGCCAGCGAGATAAGATTGTCGACGTCTATGACAAGAATTGGGTCCGCGTTGGACACTTTTATGATGATCTCAATGGGCATTTTGGATACTCAGATGCATCTGACCGAATTTGGATGGAAGCGAGACGCCCTTGGACGAACCCCCTGTCTGGCGCCAACCAGTACCACCTCCATCGGTGTGACCTGGATCCTAGCGGGCGGCAGGGTGGGACCTTCGACGTGAGGGAGGACAAGTTGAAAGAGAGCTGGTTTTGTGATTTCACAGCGAACTGTCTTGCCGACGTCTACAACATCACGGGCGAGCCAAACCCGAGCCTCCAAGATGATTCGCAGCCCCTGGCCATCGCCGACTTCAATGTCACCCTTTTCACAGACTCGCAGAATCAATGGAATCAATGGAATCTGACCATGGTCAACCCTGCAGACGGCTCCGTTTTTGCTCGTGCTGAGCAATACTTCCACTTCTTTCATGGCTGGTTGCCCCTGAAGAACTGGACGGTGAACATCTCAGAAGAGTCGCAGCCTGTGCCGCACTGGGTTGTTGGCTTCATGGCAGCCTTTGACGAAGTGCATCCGACCCCTGGCCCTGGGCGACGCAGAAGAGGGACCTTCAGGTAGCTGTCATAGCCATATGGAAGAAGTGCGATGCAAAGCTCGGAAAGCTGGGCACTGTGCTGGTTACTACAGTCTGCCACCAAAGACTGGAGTATGCCGTTCGCATTTATTGTGAGTAATAGTGCAGTGTACTACGTTATTATACCAGGAGTATCTTATGACATACTGCAGTAAGCACAAATGTGACAGTAACTTACCACTACAAAGGAAGCAGAATGTGCCATGATGTACTAAGATGTATGATCGCATCCTACAGCACACATCAGTCTTTACTAGATTTGCCACTTAGCTGAGGCTTATAGGGATCTTCAGACCCTACACCCTAAACCCTAAACCCTGAACCCTAAACCTTAAACCCTAAAGGGCGTTTTTCCCACTGCGATCTTGGAGCTCAGGCTGCCAACGTCACCTTCGCGGACTTCTTCGGGGCGCCAGGCCACGGAGAGGGTTTAGGGTTTAGGGTTTAGGGTTAACCTCCGAAAAGTTAGAACATCCTTATCCCCATACCCCCAAAAGGTGTACCAAAGGGAATCCCAGCCCCAATCATCCTTAAACCATGTTCCAACCTTCCGGAGTTTACCGTAGGGCCCAGGACGGCTAAGGGTTGAAGGCGCAGGGCCTGGGCACTCTTGTCCTTTCCACTTTCACCTGTGGGTTGCTCTGAGGATTATGGGATCCTTTTTGGGGATGTGGCCTCGGCGCTTGTAAGCAGACAGGGGCTGCGCCGGCTCATGGCAGACAGAAGAAGCCTTGCAGAGCGAGACCTGCAAGCTCACCCCGCCTTCCATTGCATTAGCTTGGGCATTGTTATTATTATTATTATTATTATTATTAGTTATTATTATCATTACTATTATTATGATGCTCATTATAAGTAGTAGTAGTGGTAGTGGTAGTAGTAGTAGTAGTAGTAGTAGTAGTAGTAGTAGTAGTAGTAGTAGTAGTAGTAGTAGTAGTAGTAGTAGTAGTAGTAGTAGTAGTAGTATGATTATGAATTATGATTATTACGATTGTTCTCCTGTTGTCAGTAGAATGGATCGCCCTCCAGCTTCCGCACTCCTGGCAGATGGCAAAGTTTCGAAGCCCGCCGCGGAGAAGGCTGCAAAGGCGCGTGCCAGGGCTTTTTTTGAAAATAAAAATTTTAGGGTTTAGGGTTTAGGGTTTAGGGTTTAGGGTTTAGGGTTTAGGGTTTAGGGTTTAGGAATGCTCAGAGATACATGCCAACCTTCCTCAGAGCGACCCGTGAAAGACTCAAAGGCTTGACTGAACGTATTGGAGCACAAAAGGATGCCCGTTTGTGTTGGTGTGAGACTCAGGCCAGCCAGGGAGAAAGTGCCGGGGAGGAGGAGCTGGAGGTCGGGGCTCCGGCTGCCACAGGGCTGATACTGAGTATGTGCTGATGGCCCAATCATATGGAGATAGGGAATGTCATGATGGTTATGATGGATATGATCGTTTCACCATGTTTCGCCGCTAGGAGGAAGAGGGCGAGGAGGAAGAGGAGGAAGAGGATGCGTGGGCCCCAGCTAGAGGACTTTACGATTTACGAATGTCAAGGCCTTCAGGACACAGGCTTTCTTCTTCTCCGTGATGCATGCGTGGGGCCTTGCCCTTGCCCCCCTGAGAAGTGTTCCCTCTTAGCGTGTTCGTGTCTCGCGGGGCTTTTCCGATCTGGGGCTTTTTCTGTGAGTTTCAGCGGGCGAGGCAGAATCTGGGTAGAAGTCGTGGTCACAAGTACGTCTGCTGCGGACCCAATTCGCATGAGGCCGAGCCTGGAGCCCTAGGCGAGCTCGATGAAGAGGCCTTCGGGCCCGGTTGCAGCACGTTCCATCCTTTCGAGCCGCTGGATTAACAGGAGAAGGCGCTGGAGGCCCAGCTGAAGGCGCTACAGGCCCAGGGCAACGAGGACTCCATGAAAGAGGGCCCATTCCTCCCCAGTTCGGAGACGGAAGACGAGTCCAATCCTGCAATTCGCAGGATGACGAAGGTGAGGAGGAAGAAGAAAAGGAGATCGACGAGGAGGGCGAGGCTCGGTTTTTGTGAGTTGGTCCCCAAGTTGGGGAAGGAGGTGGTGTTTTTTTTCCAGTGAGCACAAGCCACTTCCCCCGAAAGGTCACCGGCAAGGAAGACGATGGTGGAGGCTTGTCAAGCTTCGTTCAATGAATGATAGGCTGCGATCTGCAGAAACCTTTAGCTTCGCTACATTCTTGGCAGGAAAGTCCAGCTCCAAGGGCAAAGAGAGATCTCTCTACGAAATGGACAGGCGCGTGGGGGGCCCCGCCCCGGCCAAAGCCCTGCAGCCTGACGACCCGTCGCTTTCTTCAGAAAAAAGGGGGGGAATAGAAGCAACCCCCCCAAAGCTTCCCAAGATCCCCCAAAATCCCCCGCAAAGCCCCCGCAAAGCCCCCGCAAAGCCCCCCAAAGCCCCCCAAAGCCCCCCAGAAGCCCACAACCTACGTGGAAAAGGCGGCTGCAGTCCTTGGAGGAGGAGGTACGAAAGCTCGAGGAAGAGCAGCCACGGGCCCGGCGGGTCAAACAGATTCTTTTTTTTTTTTCGCACACGCACTTCTAGGGGCCATTTTAAGGGGATTCTAGTCTAGTTGGGGGTTACCCCTATATTGGGAAGTGCCCACACAGAGCCCAGGGCTGTGACAAGCGCACTTGCACCAAAGCACTGTACGGAACGCCTCCGAAAGAGTAAGAGACCTGGCTTTTTGCTGAAGGCTGCAGGAGAAGAGCTGGGAAATGAAGGGTGAGGCCAGGTTGCCTGCTTAGTCTTGCCGTGGAACGTTGGGAGCTTTTTTCAGCTTGTCCTGTATGCAGTCTTTCAGACAAGAAAACTGCCAAGAACCCCCCCAAAACCTGTAAAAGGTTGAACGGTCACAGCTGTGGGTTTCCGAAATTCGGGGGTACCTTCTTGGGGTCCTTTTTACAAGGGAATCCTACGATTCGGGGGGGTCTCTTTAGAAGGGCTCCCCCCCCCCCTCCCCCCCTTATTCGCGTATTCGCCCCTTAGTTGCGTATCACCCGTGCAGCAGAGCCAGGTCACTGCGCGTCATCGACCCTTGAACTCGCTCCTCGAGGCGCTTCTTTGATGCGCTTTTGGTACTACTGGGGAGGTGCCGGTTTGAACATAATCCTTCCATTTCTTCCTGAACCCCCCTTTTTTAGTCCTTCTGAAGCCATGAAGAATGTGGGTAGGGCCCCAAAGCTACCCCAGTCTAGGTGTCCAGGCACCTCCAGGCTCGATATGTGCAAGTTGACCGTTTGTTGGCGCGCCGCTTCATGTAGGGGTTTACGATATTTGGGGGTACCTACTATTTGGGGGTCTATATTGGGGGTCCCTTATTTTCGTAAACCCCCCATGTAGCCCTTGCGAGTCATAGCGAAGATGGCAAAGGTGGCGCTGGACCAGCCTATGACCCACTTCGCTGCCCGACGGGCGGAGGATGCGGGAACAGTGGGGAATTGGGGTTTAGGGTTTCGGGTTTAGGGTTTAGGGTGATTCCGAGTGACCGGGGAACGCAACGCTTTCTATGGTATCTATGGTCTGCCTAGTTTGACGCTGTGGCAGGTTGTGTGTTTCGGGCGATCCGGCCTGGAGCCCTCAAACGTCCGAAGCTGCATAGGTGGTAGCCACTACAACGTAATCTGATGAAGCTTCCCTCAAGAGCGCTTTTTGAGGGCTTCTTCGAAAGGTTCAGGTACATGGACATGCTAAGAAGAATTAACCTTCAGGAGACCGGCGGGGATGCGGAGCTAGACGAGCAGGCCAGCACGTGCAGTGCAATTCTAACACTCCTTTCCTCAAGGCAGGTGGTGCCATAGGGGGGGTACGGATGATACCCTAAACCCTAAACCCTAAACCCTAAACCCTAAACCCTAAACCCTAAACCCTAAAAGTTAGACGCTGCAAGGATGCAAACGCAGCGGTTGCCAGTTCCTCCTCAATGCTTTAGCCCCAGTAGAGGGTACTTCTCAGGTTTCTCAGGCCGCTGGCCGATGTTACCGGCATTGCAGATAACGCGGTCTAAGGGTAGCTACATGGATGTAAGGTTCTGAAGATTCTGAAGTATGCGCCCTGGAAGGATATGGGGTATAGCAGGGGTATACAAGGTTTTCAAAACCAAGGGCCCATACTAAGGGCCCTTGCAACTACCCTAAGATACACAGAAATCAAAAAGGGTAACAAGGCTTTGTAGAAGATGATTGACTGGTTGGGATGCTAGACAATTTTTGCCCATGCGTTGGTGGGATCGAACAGAAAATGTTTGTCTCTGATATCTCTGATTGCAAGACAATGGCGCCGTAGACATCGCGCTAGACATCGCGCATGACGAGGAGGAGGAGGAGGAGGAGGAGGAGGAGGAGGAGGAGGAGGAGGAGGAGGAGGAGGAGGAGGAGGAGGAGGAGGAGGAGGAGGAGGAGGAGGATGAGGAGCGTGCATTCCACTGTTGTCTTCTGCTTTGTTAATTTCGGATTTGTAGCAACTAAACTGCTGAACCCCACCCCCAGAACACCTAAACCCCCTGAGCCCCCTCAAGCCCTTAAACCCCTAACCACCCCCGAAAATCGCCAACTTTTATCCCCCAAGCCCTAAACCCTAAACAGCCCAGACTTCAAACAGCCCTAAACCCTAAGCCCTAAGCCTTAAGCGCCCTAAACCCTAAACCCTAAACCCTAAACCCTAAACCCTAAACCCTAAACCCTAAACCCTAAACCCTAAACCCTAAACCCTAAACCCAAAACCCTAAACCCTAAACCCTAACCCCTAAACCCTAAACCCTAAACCCTAAACCCTAAACCCTAAACCCTAAACCCTAAACCCAACTTCTCACTCTTGCTGTGTGGCATCCCTGGGCTGCAGGCCATGGAGGAGGCCCCCGGCGCTGACACGGCGGCGCGGCGGCCGAAACTGGACTTGGAGGCCCCAACTAAGGCCACCAAGCCCTAAGGGTTTAGGGTTTAGGGTTTAGGGTGTAGGGTTTAGGGTTTAGGGTTTAGGGTTTAGGGTTTAGGGCGTAGGGCTTAGGGTAGGGCGTAGGGTTTAGGGTTTAGGGTTGAAGCTCTAAACCCAAACCCGAATAATGTTTCTTTCTGCTTTTTTGAGTTAGAAGTGGGTTAGTGCTGGGTAGTTAGTTTTGTATGAAAATGATATGGGTTATGAGGGGATCGTCCAGTTCATTTGTGACAGCTATGTGCGGAAGATAAGGGGAATTCGGCAATTGCTTCGCCCTATCCGAGAGAGTGAGGGAGAATTCGCACGAGAAGATGTAGATCAGAGGCTGTCCGACGCACAAGCAGGGCATAGGCTGGAATGCGAAAACGATTTCAGACGACTTGCGATCGCTTTGAGTGAGGCCATCATCAAGCAGCGCATTTGGGACGAAGCATTCGACGATGTGGCTGGAGACCTGGGGAGAAGCCAGGGTTTTGATTCGGGTGTAGGGTATTGTGTTCAAGGAGGTTGTTAATGGCCCTGCGCTACGCCAGCGGCCAGAATAGCAAGCAGTGACAGGGTTCTGCGGCTCATTCGGCTTCAGCTTGGCACTCTAATGTGCAGCGCATGTAAGACTTGACGAGCAGCTTCTCTAGGTGGCTTGGACTCAATTGGCAGCACAATGGCCTGCATTCGCGTGGTTCGCTTAAGTGGGGAAGTCATGGTGGTCCCCCTGGCCCTGCCACGAGACGAACTCGTATGCACAGGATATGTGAAGACGCACCTCGCAAAGGCTTCCCCGCGCACACCCACGGCCTGTGTGGTCCGGCTCATCGGCACCGATGCGAAGGAGATCGGAAACGCTGAGCAACTCACTTGGGAATGCTTGCAGCAGGGAGAACTTCAGTATGCGCTAGTGGACGTGATGTCCATGGCCCCGCGTTTGCTGAGTTTGGACCCGTTCCATCTCATCTTTCCTGCAGATCCGAAGAAGCTGATGGACCCAGACCTTGTCATCGACCTCGCCCACGAGATCTTCCAGAAAAGGGGTCGTGATGTTGATGTTTGCCAGCGGTTCTTCTCCGCTTGGACAGAAGCAGTCATGAGTACATCGAAAGAGGAAGCAAATCAGGTTGAGCCGGATGGGCGCACTTTGCTCACCAGAATGCTCACTCTTTGGGATGAGCTTCGGCGCCGAAGTCTGCAAAGTCAGCCTTGGGATGGGCCGCCAAACCCATTCGGTGCATGTGCCCTTCCTGCCGTCCACACGACGACCGTTCGCTTTGTGAAGGAAAAGACGCAGGTTGAGACTCTAGAGCAGACTTTCCAGACGGTCGGGGGCGTGCTCGCGGAGGCAACATCCCGGGATGCTAACGCACTGGACTTGGAGCCATTCCATGTCGTCTTTCCGGCAGATGCGAAGAAGCTGATGGACCCAGGTCTCATCATCAACCTGGCCCACGGCATTTTCAAGACAAGGGGTCGTGATGTCAATGCTTGCCAGCAGTTCTTCTCCGCTTGGACAAAGGCAGTCATGGGCACATCGAAAGCGGAAGCAAATCAGGTTGAGCCGGATGGGCGCCCTTTGCTCACCAGAATGCTCGTGCTTCTGAAACTTGTTTATGAAGCACAAGGCCAGTGCGAGTTCGGAGATGACTTTCTCATGCCGGCCCAACATGCCATTGTGATGACGATGATTTGGCTTGTCAGAAAGAAGCTCCACACTCAGACGGTAAAGAAGACCTTCCACATCTCCCCTTGCGATGAGACGATAAAGCTCCTCTGGACCTTCGTGCAGGACAAACTCTCACTACCACGAGGCACCAAGACCCCAAACCCCACAAAGTGAGCTCGAGAAAATACAGCCCCGAACCGCTCAACCCTGAACCCTAAACTGTGAACCCCACCGAAATCTCACGGTGGCTGTCCCCAGGTGCTGGGCATCACGGTGGTCTCGTTGACGGGTATGGGGCAGACCTGATGCTTGCATTGATCGAGAGAGGCCTTCCGAGGAGGTACTGGGCAGGTTGCTTTGGCTTCTCTTGGTGTTCCGTTTAGCGTTTTGGGTCTAGGGTGTAGGGCTTAGGCTGTATCATGCAGTATCGTTCTTGGGTCGTGGTTCCCTCATGTCTTACAGGCTGCTTGGGCCGTTTCGACGACAACCTCCTGCAGTACATCCTCGAATCAACATGCAGACCCGTCCCGTATGAGCACACTGAGGCCGAAGGAAGGCTGAGCATTGCTCTTGCCAAGAAGTACACTTTGGAAGAGTTGTGCCACCAGAGCTCCGACGGTTACGATGCGCTCTTCTACGCTGAGCGTGTTGCTCACGAAATTGAGGACAGATGGCCAGTGAACGCTCCAGACGGTCTCGGGATTTGGGTCCAACTTCGTGATGTTATGAGGGAGCGGCTGCAAGCATGTGCGAGGGAGTTTCAGGGCACATTGTGTGAGTTGGCTGCGCTGACGGAATCGGTGAGGTTGGCCTTGGGCGGCCAGTCCCTTCCGGCGTTGGATGAACAGCTTTGGCGCCGGGCTTCAGTGGTTCGTCAGCAGTGGTGTATAGTTTGGCGTGGGGAGTCGTCGAAGCTTCTTAGGCCGGTCCGAACCCCAACACGACCCTGCAGCCGAGTCATGAGATGGTTAAGGTTCTGAGCCCTCGGTCCTAAGCCGCGAAGCCGCGAAGCCGCTAAGCCATACCTGTCCTGAACATCCCTAAACGTGCTCTCAATCCTCAAGACGGGGACCGAGGGTTCAGTGGGGTGTGTAAGGCTTGGGGTCTATAAGTTAAGGGTTGCGGGGCAGTGTTTTCGTGAAACTAATTAGTTGCAATCTTTCAACGTCGAAGAACTCTTCGAGATAAGAGCGGAGGTTCCATTTCCAGCTCTGTCGATAGCAGAGGAGCCTCCTACTGAAGCATAATTGACCAACCCGGATCCCGCGACAGCGTGCAGAGTGAAAACGCGCCTGGCGACTGTGGCGCTGAGCCGGTGCTGCAAGAGTCTTGATTGTCTGCACCATGCCGCAGAATAGCAAGCAGTGACAGGGTTCCGCGGCTCATTCGGCTTCAGCTTGGCACTCTAGTGTGCAGCGCATGTAAGACTTGACGAGCAGCTTCTCCAGGTGGCTTGGACTCAATTGGCAGCACAATGGCCTGCATTCGCGTGGTTCGCTTAAGTGGGGAAGTCATGGAGGTCCCCCTGGCCCTGCCACGAGACGAACTCGTATGCACGGGATATGTGAAGATGCACCTCGCAAAGGCTTCCCCGCGCACACCCACGGCCTGTGTGGTCCGGCTCATCGGCACCGATGCGAAGGAGATCGGAAACGCTGAGCAACTCACTTGGGAATGCTTGCAGCAGGGAGAACTTCAGTATACGCTAGTGGACGTGATGTCCATGGCCCCGCATTTGCTGAGTTTGGACCCGTTCCATCTCATCTTTCCTGCAGATCCGAAGAAGCTGATGGACCCAGACCTTGTCATCGACCTCGCCCACGAGATCTTCCAGAAAAGGGGTCGTGATGTTGATGTTTGCCAGCGGTTCTTCTCCGCTTGGACAGAAGCAGTCATGAGCACATCGAAAGAGGAAGCAAATCAGGTTGAGCCGGATGGGCGCACTTTGCTCACCAGAATGCTCGCTCTTTGGGATGAGCTTCAGCGCCGAAGTCTGCAAAGTCAGCCTTGGGATGGGCCGCCAAACCCATTCGGTGCATGTGCCCTTCCTGCCGTCCACACGACGACCGTTCGCTTTGTGAAGGAAAAGACGCAGGTTGAGACTCTAGAGCAGACTTTCCAGACGGTCGGGGGCGTGCTCGCGGAGGCAACATCCCGGGATGCTAACGCACTGGACTTGGAGCCATTCCATGTCGTCTTTCCGGCAGATGCGAAGAAGCTGATGGACCCAGGTCTCGTCATCAACCTGGCCCACGGCATTTTCAAGACAAGGGGTCGTGATGTCAATGCTTGCCAGCAGTTCTTCTCCGCTTGGACAAAGGCAGTCATGGGCACATCGAAAGCGGAAGCAAATCAGGTTGAGCCGGATGGGCGCACTTTGCTCACCAGAATGCTCGTGCTTCTGAAACTTGTTTATGAAG